GCGCTCTCCACTTCTGGTAATTTAAGCTTCTTTCTGCTTGTTTTTTTTAGCTACCTCTCAGCTGAGTTTTACTAATTTCAGCTTTTTTTTTCAGATAATTTCCACTTTTTGTGCTCATTTCTGCTTCTTTCAGCCTAATTGGGCAAAATTATGCTCTCCACTTCCTTCTGGTAACTTAAGCTTCTTTCTGGATTTCAACTAATTGTCAGCTATTTCTTTCTAATTTCAGTTTTTTTAGCTGATTTACTAATTTTTCTGCTCATTTTTGCTGATTTAAACCTAATTCAGCAAATATGTGTTCTTTCTGCTTTCTTCTGCTAACTTAGGCTTGTTCCATTTCAGCATGTTTTTAGCTAATTTCAGCTGTTTCAGCAAGTTCTTCAGCGATAAGCATCCACACTACATTTTTGCAGGCAACACATTTTCTCTAGTTAGCTTTGCTCTTTGTTTTTTCCACAGGTGCACCACACTGACGGTCCCCAAGTGCACGTCGGCCATCCGACAGACCAGCTTCAGCCGCGACAGCAGCATCCTGATTGCCGTGTGCGACGACGCCTCCATCTGGCGCTGGGACCGACAGCGCTGAGACCCGTCTCCTGTCGCTCCTTCTGACACACTGCAAGAAAAAAATCTGTTCGAAAATTACACCAACGTACGGTTTTATAAAAAAAACAAAAAGATTTTTTAAAATCTAATAAGGCTGGAGTTTATTAATTAAAATAATGTTTTGAAATAATTTGTGCCTTTAGATTTTCTATGCATTTACTAAAAAAAAAAAAAATGCGTCTGATTAATTTAAAATGTTTTTAAAAAATGTTTTTTCTTGCAGTGTGTCCTTTTATTTTAGTTAGATTTTGTGTCGTGTATTTTATTTTAGTGTCAGATTTGCTACTTTCTTCATATAAAATATTGATTTGTTAATTTTTTTTGTTTTGAAGTTAAGTCTTCTGAACCACAAAAAAAGATATGTCAGGTCATGTGGACAGATTCTTCTAAAGTAAATCAATAAAAAAAGTTTTTGTAACTTTGTGTCTAAGACTATGAATATTACTTATTTTGGTAATATTATAAAAGTACAGAAGTGCATCAATGCCACAACAAAAACAAATTATAAAGTTGTCATTATTTTTCATGCTATTAAATGTTTTTATTTTATTTTTAAGCACAAAAGAACATTTTGGAAAAGTATTTTGTACACAAATAATGTGATAATTTGATAAAACGTGAAAATAAATTGCAAGTAGCACGAATCGAACGGCAAGGTACGGATACAATTACGCACCCTCATTACTGTTCTGGTCCAAACATTTCCTGCATCTGGTTCAGCTTTATGAGAAAATGTTTAAATTCTCTAAACGTACTGCTGCGACCTGCACACTGTGGATAAAATTAGCAAGAAAAGTGCTGGAAAAACGAGATTAACGGGTTTTGGGCACTCTTTGGAGCTCTACATCGGAGTTAATTTACATCAGGAACATTTATTTAAAGTCACAAAATGTTTGACTTCATGTGTCTGAACAAGCCTTTTCATGACTTTTTAAAACAGTTTTGAAGAAGTTTTAGGCTAAAAATCATAACTTCTGCCAAGAAACTCATGATTCTTGATGCATAAAAATAAATCTGTTGAAAGACATTTTGGTCTTTTACTTTAACAGCCGATTTTTCATAGGTGAGCCACAAGTCCTACATGTAGGACTTGGTTTTTTTGGGGTTTTTTTTGCTTAAATATCCCCAGAATCCAGATTGCACACTCGAGGTGTCATACAATTAAGTAATATTTAGATACTTTTACAGAAGTGGAAGAATGTTTTGAACATCCCACATCTATGAAAACTGCAGAAACAAAAAGTTTGCGATCGGGACCATCGATCTGCTGCTAATGGTTCAAGACTTTATCTGACAGTTTTTCTGCAGTTTGAGGCTTTTTAGTCAGTTTCTGTCTGTTTATTCTATGACGGAGCTTTAGGGCCATGCTAAGAAAAAAAATTTAAAGCCATAATATTACGAGAATAAAGTACGAGACTTTTTTTTTTTTTTACAGCTTTTTTATTAATTTTTTTCTCACGAGTTGGATCCGCAACACGACCTGTCAATCAATCCAGTAGGCGTGTCAGCAAATGATCAATCAGAAACTAAATGCTCCGTAACTTAACAAGATGCTCAACATTCTTCATTTTACCACAGTTTAAAATGTAGTAAACTGCTTTATCGTGTCCGAGTTAAGATAATATTACGACTCATTTAGCTTCGGATTGGTCATTTGCTGACACGCCTACTGGATTGATTGACAGGTCACGTCGTGGAGCCGACTCGTGGAAAATAAAGCTGTTAAAAAAAAATTCTCGTACGACTATTCTTGTAATTTTATGGCTTTTAATTAATTTTTTTTTTTTTTTGCGTGGCCATAAAATTCCGTCGTAAACTTCAGGGAGTGACAGGTGTTTTATTACCATGGTTACTATAGTGAGCTGCTCATAGCAGCTGCAACGTTTATTTACATCTTGGTTGCACTTTTTTATATTATTCATGCATCAAAATATGGACACCATCCTAAAAATTGTAAGGTTTTTTTTTTTTTTGGCTGAGGTGGCAGTAATGTGCTTCCGTACATAATTTATTAAGTGAGAAAACAGAACATTTATATTTACATATGTAACATTTTACAAATAGCAATCGTTGTGTAGATATATTTGATTTATTGTGAATTTGTAAAAATTCACGTTTTTCATGTTAAATTTAAAATAGTAACTTTTTGCTCCTAATGAAAAATAGCTACTTTACGTTAATGCGCTCACTTCATGAAGCTGATGGTTTTTTTGCGCAGATTATTGCGTAAAAAATGACGTTTCATGGCGTCGCGCGCTTCCTTCGTGCTTACATCGCGGGCAGAGCTCTTTCTGGACTTTTGCCCTCCGACGCTGACTTGGAAAGATAAGACAGAAAGCGATATGTTCCCCTCGAAGTCGCCCCAGAACCGGTCCGGGTTTGGGTCGGAGCCAGCATGCGGGTCCCGGGAGCAGATCTGTCTGGTGGAGTGCGCGTGTAAACCGGAGTGCACCTGCGGGGAATCCTGCGGGAGGAGACCGTGTGCGGCAGAACTGAAGGTAGGTCTGCGTTTATGCACTGATTACCTTCACACGTCTTTGAGTTTAGTTTCAGTCCAGAACCAGAACTTTGTCAGAAAACGTTGTTTCCAATCACTCGTCCTGTGCACGAGTTTCAAGCTAAATGAGGTTTTAATAAATTGACCCGCTCTGTTTTTGTTGTGTTGTTCCTCTTTCTTGCCGCTAGAGGGCGCAGCTGTGAAGCGACCATTAAAACACCTGATTGGCGACTGGACTAGTCAAAATTATTTATAAAGCACGTTTAAAACAGCAGCTGTTACCAAAGTACTTAACAATAAGATCAAAGCAGTAATTAAAGAAAAAACAAACAAACATGTAATTAAAATACGGTGGCCCTAAGGTGTAAATGAACATCATTAGAAAAAACAGAATTACATTAAGCCAAAGCGGAAGTGGCCGAAGCGGAAGTGACCCAAATCACATTAGAAAAGACAGAATTACATTTGAAAAAAAACGGAATTACATTAAGTAAAACAGGAAGTTTTTGTAGTTTTATGCTGTTATTTATAAAGTAAAAAAAAAAAAAACCTTCCTGTTTGGCTTAATGTAATTAAATTTTTTCAAATGTGATTCAGTTTTTTTCAAATGTAATTCCATTTTTTTCAAATGCAATTCTGTTTTTTCTAATGTAATTCTGTTTTTTCTAATGTGATTCTGTTTTTTCTAATGTGATTCTGTTTTTTCTAATGTGATTCTGTTTTTTCTAATGTGATTCCGTTTTTGTTTTTTTACGCAACTCCGTTTGTTCAAATGTAATTCCATTTTTTCAAATATGATTCTGTTTTTTTCAAATGTAATGCCGTTTTTTCAAATGTGATTCCGTTTTTTTTTTTTTTGGTTGTGATTTATTTTTATATTTTTTTTCAAATGCAATTCCGTTTTTTTCAAATGTTGTCCATTTACACTTTAGGGCCACCGTACAAACGCATCAAAAATAAAAACAATGAGAAACAATGAGATGGTAAATCAAATCACACTGTGTTAAATGTCACTAAATGCAGGGGTGTTTTTAGGAGAGATTTTAAAGCAGGGATTGAAGTGTCCAATGTTGAGGGCCAGATTGATGGAAAAAGCCCGATCTCCTCTGAGCTTCAACCTGGCTTTTGGTACAGCCAAAACCAGATGATCTCAAAGCCTGAGAAGGAACATATGATTGAAGTAGCTCAGAGAGATATGAGGGTGCAAGGTCATTTAGGCACTTGAATGTCAACAGGAGAATTTTAAAATCAATTCTGACACGCACAGGGAGCCAGTGAAGGGAGGACAAAACCGGTGAAATACACTCAAACCTACGTGTTCCTGTTAGGAACCGAGCTGCAGCATTTTGAACGAGCTGGACACCTGACTGACCCCAACATAAAGCGCGTTACAGTAGTCCAGCCGAGTTGTAACAAATATGTGGACTATTTTTTTCAAGGTCAGACCTGGTCAACATGGACTTAAAAAGTTTAGCTATCTGCCTTAACTGGAATAAGTTTTTCTGCAGAACAGAGTTAATCTGTTTGTTAAATTTAACGTCAGAGTCTAAAACCATCCCAAGATTCGAAACTGCTTAAGATGTGGCTCAAGAGAGTCAAGGTTTAGAGGAACAGATACAGGGACTAAAGTTTAACCATTGAGTCCTGTTTCATTACAACTACCACAGCACACTGTCAGTGGTGAAATGAACAACACTGGTGCAGCAATTTCCAGTCAGGTCATTTGGACAGTTTCTTTTTTTTTTTTGTGACGAGACATTTTGCCTTCCATCCAGAAGGCTTCATCAGTTTGAGGAAACACCAAACAAAACTGCTTCTCCCCCAACAGCTCATTTCAAACTTTGGAGTGAGCTGTTGGGGGAGAAGCAATATTGTTTGGTGTTTCCTCAGACTGATGAAGCCTTCTGGATGGAAGGCAAAATGTCTCGGCACAAACAAAGAAACCGTCCAGATGACCTGACTGGAAATTGTTGGATGTTATACCTGCATTATTGAGCATGGACTTTGGTGAACAGCACTGCTGGTTTTTAAAGACAAGAATAAGGTGCACAGGGTTGAATTTACAGATCAAATTATGCAAATATATTCGTACATTTCTGGCGTAACACCACCCCAAAAAAAATTGCTTCACCGAGAATTTCCTAATAACAAATAATGCAAATTATCAAACTAGATAACTTTCAGTCTACACTTAGTTCTGTGTGTTTTCCAATTGTTTAAATAATTTTTATTAAATAAAAAATTGTGTGAGGGGGATGGGGCAGGGGGCACTGGTAAAGCTGTCATTTTTAACCCGAACCCAAAACTCGGCCCGGACCGACCCAGATTAGGGCTGGGCTGTTATAATGTGATTAATGGGCAGGCTGGGCTGATCGCGGGCTTTTAATTAGGTCAGGATCAGCCGCGATCCAATTATATGAAAACATGGCCTGCCATACTATCACCAGCTGCATGCGGCCATTACACCGTGAGCTGACCGGCCTTGAAAGAGGTAAAAAGTTCAGTTAAGCTTCAGATGGGACTGTACTGCCAGGCAGCGATCCATCGCCCAAATGGGCGTTCATTCAGCCGCTGCACTCGGCAGACGCGCACGGCCGATGATCCAAACAGTTGCGATCCCAAAGTAGGCGCATGTGTCAGAGCTGTCCGCGTGTCTCAGTAATTCAGAAGAATACAGGCAGTTGCAGGGTTTAAATGCTTTTTTATGGCCATGAAACGACAAACACCCCGTCAGCTCTGAAGCTGTGCCGCTTTTATTCAGCTGCGCGTTCCCGACCGTTAATAACTAATTAAAAATGTCAGTTTTTTTATGGGTTCGGACCTGTAATTACTGTTAATTTGTCGGGTTGGGTGGGGTTCGGAAATTATGACTGCAGGCTGGGGCCGGGTCGGATCAGATATTTTGGGCCCGAATACAACTCTAGGCACTGGTACTAGTTCTTCACTTATTTACATCTATAGGGCAGCATTGGCGGTGTGTCCTTTGACTCTTTTGAACGGCACTTTACAACAAACGATGGGAACAGATTCATAGGCAACCTTTTTTCTTTTTGGCTCCTGCACTGTCACCCTTCTGGTGTACTAGTGATAAACTAGCAAATTCAAGGCTTCACAAGAGCCTTCCAAGTTACCCCAAACCTGAGAGGTCAGGAGGATATTTTATAACGGAGGACATCATGACGTCCTGACCCGGGATACTTCTCTGTCCCTAGTTCTGGAACCCTCGTTGGGATCAGCGAGGTGAGCTGACCCAGGATTACATCTCTTGTTGCTCCCCAGTGCTGTCAGAGCCCCCTGAGCCGATAGTGCTAACCGCAACTCCAGAGCCAATTGAGTCTCCAGAGTCTGCAGAGTCGCCCTCTGAACCTCCAGAGTCCCCAGAGCTGTTGGCTAAATCTGCAGACTTCCCAGAGTTGCCGGTTGAATCTCCAGAGTCCCCAGAGCTTTCTGTGCTACCATCACTGTCTTTATCATCTGCAGCTCCTCCAGAGTGTGGGCCCTCTAGAGTTTCCAGGATCTCTGCCTTTAAAGTTTCCAGGGTCTCCGTCTTTAGAACCTTCAGCGTCTCTGTCTTCAGGGTCTCCTTTAGAGCCCTTGAGGTTTCCGTCTTTAGAACCTTCAGCGTCTCTGTCTTCAGGAT